GGGGAAGCAGCATTTTTAACAAGCACCTCATACAATTCCTATGCAGGTAGCACAGGACCCCAGCCCAGGAAACACCAACCTAGAGGAGGCCCCTGGGTGGCAGACCAATAAGTACACACTTCAGGCAAGTGAGTTCTCCACACAGCTCTGCCGAGCTCGGGTACAAGAGATGAGGGAGCAGGGGCTGGAGCTGAGTGAGCTGGCCCCGAGACAGCCCAGCACCCAGCACAGAGCCTGGCACATCGACTCTCGAGATCCACAAGGAGGGAGACTCAGTTCTCAAGGAGCAGACAGCAGTGAGTCTAGATGAACAGGATCTGAGAGGTGATTTACAGGTGTGAGTGCCGCACAGGGCATCTGGCACTCAGCAGCTGGTGGCTGGCAAGCACAATGGTGCTGCCAAGCCACCGCACACGCTAGTTCAGCTCCACACGCCAAGCCACTGCACACGCTAGTTCAGCTCCACACGCCAAGCCACTGCACACGCTAGTTCAGCTCCACACGCCAAGCCACTGCACACGCTAGTTCAGCTCCACACGCCAAGCCACTGCACACGCTAGTTCAGCTCCACACGCCAAGCCACTGCACACGCTAGTTCAGCTCCACACGCCAAGCCACTGCACACGCTAGTTCAGCTCCACACGCCAAGCCACTGCACACGCTAGTTCAGCTCCACACGCCAAGCCACTGCACACGCTAGTTCAGCTCCACACGCCAAGCCACTGCACACGCTAGTTCAGCTCCACACGCCAAGCCACTGCACACGCTAGTTCAGCTCCACATGCCAAGCCACTGCACACGCTAGTTCAGCTCCACATGCCAAGCCAGTGCACACGCTAGTTCAGCTCCACATGCCAAGCCACTGCACACGCTAGTTCAGCTCCACAACCCCAGCCTGCACTGACCGCCCACTGTCCAGCCCCGGCGCTGCCCAGCACAGTGCTCTGGACACCACCTTGCCACCCCTGCTAGCCAGACTTCCTGTAGTGGCTGCAACCCAGCTGGCCAGCCTTCCTCTGCCTCTCTGCCAGGTGCACGCCACTGTCACCCGCAGCACGGTTTCCAGACTCACCCTGAAGCACTGCAGCCATCCAGACCACCTCAGTGACAGCAACCTATGGACTCCAACACGAAAGACTGAGCTTTCCTCCAGGTCCCCCCAAAGGCCTCGCCCACTCCCAGAACTCCGCCAACTCTCAGCTCGCTCCTACGAGTCCCTAGCAGAGGCGTGTGGTCAGTGCGCCGTCTGCTTCAGACGCTCCTGTGGGTGTCGGCTTGGTCCAGGGGAGGGTTCTCAAGTGTATTGAGACTCTCTGCTCTCCTCCAGAGCCTAAGGGCAAAGGCATGGTGGAGACGCGGACCCAAGACTCCCTGCCCCTCCCTGAGCACCCACCAGGAGGCCTGGCTCCAGACTCCATTCAGTCCCAGCGCTGGCCGGTGGCCTTAGAGTCCAGGTCTAGAAAATGGGCTTCTGCCTTACATTTATGACAAGGCTTCCAGTGCATTTGGCTACCTTACACAAAGTTCTGTGCCCCCTCCACAGCAGCCTGGGCGACCCAAGCATTCTCCCAGGACTGGCACAGTCGGTCAGAGAGGCAGCAGCAGGAGGACAGGGCGTCTGACTGGCACTCAGATCTGTGGCCACAAGCGCAGGCCAAGGAGTCCCAGCACTGGAGGCTCACTCTAAGCAAGGGCGTGGGGACCCCTCTCCCTGCGAGAATTGGCTTTTGGGAGCCAGAGCACATGAAGCACCCGGATGTTGACGCAGCTGCTCACTGTCCAGGTCGGTCAAACAGAAGCAACTGGAAAGGTGGGAAATGAATAAAGAACAGAAGACATGCAAGAGGGAGGCTGGGTGGATATCTGAGTTGCAAATAAAAGATATTATGGAATCGGCAGCATTTGCAACACTGGAACAATTCTAAGAGCTTCCTTGTAAAAAGCCGCTCAAGGAAAAAGGCCTGCCTTTCTTCTGGGGAATGACAAAGAGCTGCCAGAATGACCAGAATTAAGAACGATCATTTCTAGTCATTCCCACGTTGAAAATTACTCTTAAAATTCAATCCTCACACAACACGACGGGAGTATGCATCCACCCGGAGGGACATGAGTAAGTCTGGTGGGCTGTGTCGACACCAGGCACTGGTTATGATGTTGAACTACCGTCTGGGGGAAACTGAGCAAAGGGGCACCGGGTGCCTCTGCTTGATTTATTAAAACCGCATGGGAATCTTACAATGACCTCAATAAAAATCTCAATTAAAAACAACTCGATCCTCCTATACTATGGAATTTTACAAGCGAACAAATATCCAAGTCCCAATATAGCATCAAAATAAAACCGAATCCTCTGCAAATTAGACAAATGAATTCCACCACTGAGGCCAGCACCGTCCCTGCCTTGGCCCTTTCAGGAATATAAACATTATCCAGCAAAAAAAGCCTTTTTCAAGAGTGAGTCACAAAAGCCCAAAAGATCCTGGGCAGAATTTATAACAGAGATAACCACTGCCAGAAAGCAGGCTTGGGGCCTGCAAGGCTGCGGTTATATTTTCACTGTGGCATCCTGCACATAAGTGGAAGGCTGAGCAAAATGGGTTTCTTTTCTCAGATGATCACCAGGGGACTTGATGAGAAGCTGTATTCCAGAACTTTCTCCCCCAGAAGAGCAAGTGCATCTCCTGCTCGAGTGAAGTCAGTGTTCCTTCCTGCCCGCCAGACTGCATTCAGGCTCTGCTTCCAGAGTCCCCGGTCATTGGTTTTTAAACAACAACAAGGGAAACTGTTGTTTATTTTTGCAATTTTACAGGCACCGCCTGTATCCATTAAGTGCCTCGGGGAGGCTGCTCAACACCACAGGGCAAACAGGAGGCCAGAGGGGCTCAGGTCTGTTCTGAAAGCGTGAGCTTTACGGATAAGGAGCTGGAATCATGCTGCTTTAATTCAGAACTCCACTCCGTAACGTGGCCCCTCTGATCCCCTAGTCTGACCTGAGATACTAAGAACCAAACTCGGGGGTCATCTGGGCACCTGAGCGCCTGTCCCCATCCCAGCAACGACACTGAAGCAGGTCCACCCACACCTGCAGGGTGTGAGTGTCTTATCTGCACTTCTACTGACACCCATTGGCAAGTCACCAAGTGATGGATGGAAACACCTCAGGCCTCAAGAACATTCTGCTTAAATACCCAGAGTCCCAGGTCAGAAAGACTTACAGAAGCTGACAACACAGGAGTGCACCTCGGTTCTTAGTATCAGCACACACCATGCAGTGCTTACAGGGCCTCCCTGACCAACGGGGTGAGGGCAGGGGGACAGGCCGCAGCCGAGGTCTCCGGGCCATGTGCAGGTTTTCATGTTCTCCTTGCTCAACCCCAACAGCATGACCGTGAGGCCTTTTCTCTGCCTCCCTATGACTCTAACCCCGCCCCGTCTCAGGAGAACGCAGGCGAACTGTATAGGGTAATGAGCCTTCCTACAGGGGTTGGGGGGACGCTTACAGCTCAGTGACCCCTGGCTGGGACCCCTCCTGATACTTGCTCCTGTTCACAGTGGATTTACCATTTCTCGTCTATCAACGTCTCTTCTCTGGGATGCTGGAGAAACAGTGACCTCATGGTCATGATGGTCACCATGCACTCATCCCAGAACCACAAGCACTCAAACAACGATGTCTGCACCCAGCGGGGACATCGTTACTGCAGACAAACACTCCCCACACTGGAGCTGAGCGTTCTGTTCTGGGCCAAACACTCAGCACGTCTCCACTGCTCACACCCAAAGCCGATCCCGCTCTCCCTGAAACGCTCAGCACGTCTCCACTGCTCATACTCAATACTGATCCTGCTCTTCCTGGAGGGGAGCGAGGAGTCAGCCCATGAGAGGTTCCAGCAGCACTGGGGGAGAAGGGCTGGTGAGGGGGTCCCTTCTCCTGGATTCCTCCAGACAACTAGACAAAAAGCCTCCAGAAGTGCCCAGAAAGAACACAAGGCCCAGGTCTTGAGGCCGTCAGCAGGATCCCAGAGCAGAGCACACCCCATGGTGATCTCAGCTGTGAAGGGGTTGACCCAAAGCCACCACTGGAGCATTAACTTCTAAACACACCAAGATAAACACACCTGGGCCTTTCACATGAATTTCAGTTTTCAAAACTAAGCCACTGCACACCCACGTTCACAGCAGCTTTATTCACAACTGTCAAAAGGTGGAACCACCCAAGAGTCCGTCAACAGGTGAATGAATAAATAAACTCTGGTCTATCTATGCAACGCAATGTTATTCGGCCTTTAATAAGGAAGGAAATTCACACATGCTGCGACGTGGAGGAACCTTAAGGACATTATGTTGTCTGAAATAAGCCAGTCACAAAAGGAAAACTGCTGTATGATTCCACTTCTCTGAGGAACCTAGAAGAGTCATAGTCACAGAGACAGAGAGAGAACGGAGGGTGCCAGGGGCTGGTGGGATGGGAGCATGGGGGTTAATGTTTGATGGGGACAGCGTCTCGGCTGGGGATGGGTGGTGTGCTGGGTGCACAACAATGAGAATGTATTCAACGCCGCTGAACTGCACACTCAAAAACGGTTAAGATGTAAGTTTTACGTTATGTCTACTTTACCACAATAAAAAAATAATAATCAAGCCACTGATGTGGTGGTACAGTGAGGGGGACAGCTAGCGACAGTGGTTTTCCTAGCCATGGTCATAAAGACAGGAACTTTGTCTTATGAAAGCATTTCCCAAGGAAAGAAGACACAAGTGACTTGAGGGATGTGAGACACTGTTCAGGAAGGGACCACAAACAGAAATGGCATTGCCCTCCTCCTCCCCCCCTCTGCCTCCTCCTCCCCTCTGTCCTCACGCCCCCCAACCAGGCTGCTTGCTGAGAGTGCCTGGCCACACCCAGCTGGCGGCGTGCACGCCGCGGAGCCCAGTTCCGGCAAGGCCTGATTATAAACTAACACGGACTCACCGGGCGGAGAGACCAGAGCAGCCCTTACCTGTCTCTCCATGAGCTGGGAGGAGGCCAGGGATCTGCTGCAGACCAGACACCAGAAGGTTCTCGGGAAGAAGGTGGAACGCAGGCTCCAGGAGCGGGTGTGGTCTCAGGGTGTACTGCAGGCTACAGCTCTCAATGAGGGTCAGGTGTTTGTTTTCTAGGGGAGAAAACACCTTATGCGAGAGCTGAAACCAAAGGCACTTTCAGTCAAACCAGCCAATAAACTGATCATCTTAGAAAGAAACACCACAAACAGGAAACATATTTTTCTAGAGAGATGGAAGAATTGCTCTGTTAGTTCAGCCAATAAGTGAAAAAGAATCAATCCTTAAAAACCATCTCTAATAAATCACAATGAAAGAGATACTTGGTTTGGGGTTTTTTTTAATTTTTATTTTTCTTTTTTTTTGGTGAGGAAGATTGGCCCTGGGCTAACATCTGTGCCCATCTTCCTCTATTTTGTATGTGGGATGCCACCACCCGGTGGCTTGATGAGTGGTGTGTAGGTCTGCACCCAGGAACCCCGGGCCACCAGAGCAGAGCACAGGAACTTAACCACTATGCCACTAGGCTGGCCCCAAGAGATACTTGTTTTTAACCCAACAAAACAAAACCTCTCCCGCTCACCTCCTCCCCCAGGGTGGTGCCGTCCAGGCTTTGTTTGGTGCCATACTCAGCGGGAGTCTGGAAGGCGCTCTGGACCAGAGGCCTGCCTCCCTGTCAGTCTCAGCAGTTGCATCCATCAAGCCCCACAAAGCAGCAGGACCAGGTCCTGGGGGCCAGTGGCCTCCAAGACAGAGCCTGTCCTCAAAGAGGGGCATTCTTCTTGGGTGACAAGTAAGACACAAACACACCAATATCCATAACACACGAGAGAATGGGATCCAAACCCCAAGAAAGGCTCAGACAAGCCACTCGAGGAAGCGGAAAAAGGGGAGGTCCTGGAGAATGTGATGACCAGGAAAAGCTCAGATAGAGAACACCAGAGAAGGTAGAGGGGACAGCATGGAGAGAAACTGGGGCACAGGAAGGGCCCTACCCCAGAGCCACAGGGCCTCAGGGTTGAGAGGGATCACAGACATGCCCTGTACACATTCCCACCAAACCGTCCATCTTGCTTGGGCTTGATTTCCTGCACTGATAGGGGCCTTACCACCTCCTAAGGCATGCTAAGTGACTTGATAAGAAAAGAGCCAATATGATCTACTGCATTCATTAGAAAAAGGAATTAATGAAAACCATATTTTTAATTCTTAACCACTCCAAACATGGGATCTCCTTACTTTAAAATTTAAAATGGCCTAAAAGGCACTTTCCCATGTGGCTGGTTGGAGAGCAAACTGGTACCACCTCTGTGGAGAGCAAACAGGAGAAATATTACAAACCTGTGAGTGCACAGGCCCTGGGACCCAGCAACTCCATTTCTGAGAATTTATCCTACAGATTCGCCTGTACACTTGCAAAAGGACGGACGTCCAGCACAGCAATGCTTCCAACCTCTATTCTTACAGAACCACTGAGTGTCCACTGTGGGGGTCCATTCAATCACAGAACAGCAAAGCAACGAAATACCACGTGACCGTAAAAAGAGTGAGGGAGCTTCTGTGGACTGACACGCAGCATTCTCCAAGACAAATCGTTAAGGGAAAAAAGCAAAGTCTGGGACGAAGAAAAGGAGGGGAGAAATCAGAACAGGGCCACACGCATTTGCTGGTACCCCTCAAGAGGCCTGGGCAGGTCCCCAAGACTGAGAGGGAGGTCACCCGTGGTGCAGGGGAGGGAGCTGAGCAGCCGGGCGGGGAGGCCCCACTCTGAGCCTTTCTATACTTCTTCGTGCTGTTTGAATTGAGCCACGTGAATGGATTACCCATTCCAGAAAAACACCCGGAAATCTTCGGAAATGCCAACTGAGAAGATGAGCATTCGGCCCGTGGCTCGTTCCTCCTCGGGCCTCCTTTCACAGTTCACACTCCCACACACACATTCCAACAGCACCCAAGAATCGTGGACATGGAGGAAATGGGGTGGCTGTGCACATGGTTTAAAGGTCCCGATTCTCAGGACACTTAGGGAGTGAAAATGCTGGCAAATTAATGATTGAATTCAATTGAGAAATAACCTAAAAGCCAATCTCCATCAACAAAATTAAGTTTCTGACTGATTGTTCCCTTACCAAAATCCATCGGGGAGAGGGGGGATGGGGTTGGTTTGACTTTTTGGCACAGGCTTTGTGGCATAGACAACATTCCCGTCATGGAATCCGGGCAACACCTCAAGAAGACAGAGTCACCCCCTCAAAGAGCTCCACCTCCAATTTGACCCCCACGCACACCCCACCGCAGTCAGCAGAGCTCTCCACCTTGGGCCTGCACATCCCTGCTGGCTGCTCGGGAGGAGGGGTCCCAGAGGCACAGCATGAAGCCCCCCTCCCCGTTCTGCTCTAAGGCAGGCCCTCACGGAAGGCGGGAGCCCAGTAATACCACAACACGGCAGGTGTTCCTGCACACCCTTCCTCTTGAGTTAGGGGCAGCCGGAAGGCCTTGCACACTGGATAAAATCAACGGACTTCACAAAGGTTTCCTGTGACAGCTGGGGGCCAGAGATGGACAGCAGCTACTCCATCTGGCAAGCAAAGCTGCTATCCTAGGGGCAAGCAGGGCAACAGCCCTCCCGGCAGGTGGCTTCCAAGGGGCCAAACCTCTCCCATGGTCATCCTCACAAAGCAATGCCCCCTTCCAGTCTAGTGTACTTCAGTTCCTTAAATTATGTCAAAAATACTAGCCTGTGATACATTTTGCCCAAACCTACTGAATAAACTAGCTAAGCTGATAGTGGTGTAATACTCAGGGAAGTTCTAAGATGAACATGCTGCTGAGGACAGCAGCACTTTGGCAGCTGCAGCGCCTCAGGCCAGGCCAGGCCTCATCTCTTACGCTCTATGGGGTCCTGGAGACGCGGGTGCAGGAGGGCTCTCGGGGTGCCACGATACAGTCTCAACCTGCAAAACAAGCCCACGAAATGCACGTCAACTTTGCATCTTCCATGTGGTCATGAAACGCCAGCTACACTTCTCAGAAGGAAAGCATGTGAGGCCCCCAACCACCCCCACACCTTCTAGAGCTTTTAAATGCCACCAATTGCATCCTCTACAGAAAAAAAGAGATAGCAGAGGATCGCATCAGCCCCATGTCTGCAGGGGTCTTGGCCAAGCACTCCCAGCATCCGCAGAGCTGTCCCAGTGCAGCCTGAGAACCAGGGCGCTCGAAGACAAAGCCAGGGAAATTCATAAGGCTCTGAAACAGCCCAAGAAAGACAACGTTTGAGCAATTTCCATGGCTATATATCTAGGGGAGTGGTTCTCAACCCGGGATGATTTTGCCCCCAGGGGACATTCAGCGATATCTGGAAATGTTTTTGGTTGTCACAGCTGGGGATGGGAGGGTGCTTCTGGCATCTAGTTGGGGGAGGCCAGGGATGCTGCTAGACATCCTGCAGTGCACAGGATGGCCCCCACAGCAAAGCCTTATCCAGCCCAAATGTCAGTGGTGCCAAGGTTGAGAAACCCTGAGTTAGAGTGGCAACATGAACTTCGACCTTGGCTGAAATGGTTACACACTATCTGGATGAGCCATCTTGGTTTGTCTAGCTCCTACACAGAGCCTGGCACATAGCAGATGCCCAATCGACATTTGTTGAAATGAATACCTACTGTTTACTGGGTGCCTGTTTGTGAAAAACATACGATTTAACACTTCCATGACCCTTAGGAGATGCACGTTATCCCTCCTGCACAGACGAGCTGATTCGGAGTCCAGAGTTTAAATCACTGGCCGAAACCTCACAGGATTAAGTAACAGCGCAGGACTTTAGCCCCCGTCCATCTTACATCAAATCCCACACCTATAGCCAAAGCCAGTGCCACTCCAGCCTAAAAAACAATTCTTCGACTTACTTAGAAATGGCAAACCAGTTACCCCATAGCAAAATACCTCCCACAGTCTACTGTTATGAACACACAACAACATAAGCTGACAGGTTTCAAGCTTTCTACTACAGCCGAATGATGAGCAGTTCAATCACCACAGAAGACAGTGGAAAATCCCAGGGACGGAGAAAACAGGGCAGATACCGTTTGTCCTGGGAGGCAGAGGTAGGAGATTCCGGTTTGCTGCTGAAGATCCGAAGAATTCCAAACCCACATGACAAAGCTTGGAGGGTCCCATCTCGTTTCCTGCCTTCAGTGACCACTTCTACCACAGCCACAATGTTAGGGTGGTTTAAGGACGTATGAAAATACAAGGGCTGCAAAACAAAAACAAGAAGCTAGATGGCGGCCTGAATGTTTACCACCCGCGGAGAAGGAAGCAGAAAAGGACCAGACGCACTCCCTGTTCACCCCCTCCACCATCATCACATGAACGCCACAAACACGCCATGTGGGGAACACCGCGTCCCTCCCAGGGCACCAGAGAAGGGAACAGGTGCCATAAAATAACTCCCCCAGAGCTGAGAGCGGGTGTCACGGCTTCTCATCCCAGAGCGCCTGACACCCAGGACATCAGACTACTTGCTTCTGCTCCACAACTTCCCATCTACACAAAATGCCAGCAGTCACCAGACCCTCCAGGAAAGAAAGAGGCTGCAATGGCTGTGCCCTCACCCCAGCACAGGCTGGACCACAGTTAAATAAGCCCAAAGACGTGACGAGCTCACTGCCAGCACACGCATCTGCTGGGCCTTTCTGTAATACTCACTGTACAAAACTTCAATCATAACTCGCTGATATTGACTCTAATCCCTGTTTTATGTGGAACGACAGTGAAGCTGCATCTGCACTAATTTTGTTCAAACTAAGCAGGATCCTTAGATTTCTTGGGGTGCTGTATAATAATCGCCAGTTCAGAGCCAAACTAACGTCCTTTTATGACAAAAATCGCCTTGAGGTCATTTTATTACAAGGTGTCTGGGACCTAAACCAAGTAGATGATGTACTAAGTGCTCCGACAGAGTCTTCCACCTGTAACTGCCGTTCCCCAACAGGCGGTGGGAGCCTCCAGCTCTCGCCGGGGGAGGGGCATGAGAGAGACAAGGCAGGTGGGACACCTGTCCCGGCTGAGACGACAGCACCCACTCCCCACTGCCGTTCTTCTTTCACGAGAGCCAACACAGCCGTTGTTATTTAAAACTGGTCAACGTCACAGACACAGAACAGAAACACACGTGCTGACGGGGTTTAGGCATCAAGAGCAGACAAGGGAGAGGCAACAGCCATAAATTGGGAGCTCAGGTGCAGTCCTGAGCTATGGCTCTGGACTCAGAGTGGTCCCTATCCCCAGTGTCCGTGAAGCAGAGATGCAGGGTCACCAGCTGAGCACAAAGACCACGCCCCACCAGGCAGAGCGAGGGAAGGCAGGGCCCGGCTGGGCTCCTGCATCATGATTTAAACTCGGAATAAGCCCCCATTAACGAGTCATTACCATGGTGTCACGGAGAAAACGTTTACTGTGATCACAGACTGTCAGCCCAGGATAACAGAGAGACACATTAAAACATCAGCCATGAGATATAAATCGTTATTCTATTATCTTTTATTGCAAAATGATGAAATAATGACCACTTACAGCTGACAGGTGGTTGGACCAAGAAAGAATTATGTTTCTGGTTCTGAGACTCAAGAACTGTTTTAAAAAGCCACGCTGTAAGTCGAGTTTGTCATTATCTCACCTTTTCTATCTATACGTGTGCGTACCGGTGTTCTGAACACTCCCGTTCTTCTTTTCGGCAGTGAAAGAAACACTTTAAACTCTGACGTGAAGCAACAATAATCTGGGAGCTTAGAGGTCACCTTGAGATTGCTCTGCCTGAAGGCGGTGGCACCAGCTTTGTCCCAAGTACAAATTTATGGCTGTTGCCTCTCCCTTTCGTTTACCACTGAAAACAATTATTCCAAGACCAAAACGACAGCAGCAGAGCCCCACCAGCATCTGTCTCCAAAGACTCCAGCTCCAAGCGAGGGGTCGGCCACTGGAAGCGCAGCAGTTGAAAGGCGACTGAAGGGCCGATGGGTGTCATGATATTATGAGCGCTAAGGACGGCCCTTTTCCAAACATCACTACTGACCCTCCAGTGTGGGACAGCACCATGCTAAAGAATTTCTAAGGAACCTGGAAAACATGATCCAGCCCTCGAGAAGGCCAAAGTTCACAGGCAAAGGCTGGATTAGGCAGGCACAAAATGCGACCCCGCTCAGGACCCCCCAGCTCGGAGGTTCTGGAAGCAAAGCCCCCAGGGACGGAGCCCCATCCTCCCTCCTCACCTGGCGGAGCGGCCCCAGGAGGGCAAAGCCGTGCAGCCCAGCACACAGCACTCAGAGGGGCTCAGCAGAAATCCCGATGGCACTCAGCTGAGCAAAACCTGCAAAGAAGCCCTTCCGTCTAAGGACATTAATTAACACCACGCAGGACACTGTGAGAGGAAAATCCTCTGCCTCCACGGAAGTGGCACGAGGAAACGTTGGAGTTGAGCCCATCAAATGACCTGCAAGAGACAGAAGAGGGGCTCTCACTCGCCCCCCACCACACTCCCCCATCTCCACCTGACAAGTCTCCTCCCTGACAGGACAAACAGATTAATAAATCACTGAAATGCTCCTGTCTGAATGCCTTCATCTTCAAAAACACAGACACCATCTGGCCTCGGGCCGAGATTCCATTTCTCACCCATGACAGAACCGAGATTGGGCCTCTGATGATGCGCCTTTATGGAGAGGTTGCAGCCATGCATTCCCAACCACACTGCCACTCAACCCAACCCAGTGACACGCAGCTCTTAGTCCCAAGCAGAAGATGAGGTTGGGTGACAAGGCCAGAGAAGAGGAGAGCAGAAATTAAACCAGTACCTTCCAAAGAACTTTTTTAAAATAAACCTTTAATAGAATATCTTCAGGAAGGGAAATAATTCACAAATACTTCCTGCAGGTTCTACCTGCCCGCTCCCCCTCCCACCGGAGGCTAGAGCGGTTTCCAGTACACCACCCCCGTGAGACCACTGCTCCAAGCACAGTGGACTCTGCTGAGCAACCCTCGCCTCTGAGAAACACAAAATCTCTAATTCCAAACTCAGAGGCATCCACTCATCCAGGCTTTGGCCCACCATTATGTGACGCAAAATAACACAATGGAGACAGCCCCCCACCAACAGAATTACGCAACCCAAAATGTCAGTGGTGCCAAGTCTAAGAAACCACAATCTAAAGTGGCAATGTGACCTTCAACCTCGGCTGAAATGGTTACACACTATCTGATCCATCTGGGTGTGCCCAGCTCCTACAGAGAGCCTGGCACACAGCAGACGCCCAACCAGTGTTTGTGGAATGAATACCTACTGCTTACTGGGTGCCTGTTCGTGAAAAACATATGATTTAATACTCCCATGACCCTTATGAGTCGCATCCTGTTATCCTTCCTGCACAGATGAGTGAATTGGTTTACATAACTGGCCAAAAACCCAACAGGAATAAGTGACAGAGCAGGACTTTAGCCCCCGTTCATCTTACATCAAGTCCCACACCCACAGCCAAAGCCAGTCCCGCTCCAGCCTAAAGAACAACTCCTTGACGTACTTAGGAAAGTCAGTCGGTCCAGCTACACCCTCCCGCAGTCTACTGCTGTGAACACACAGTGACATAAGGTGACAAACGTGAAGCTCCCCACTATCCCCACATGGCAGGCAGTTAAGTCACCACAGACTAAACCCCAACTCCGGAGACGTCACAGAGGGATGCTATTTCTCCCTCTAGAAACACTTCTGTCAGCCCCCACTTCTGGCTCAGAGTCGCTGGGAGTGGCTTCTGTTGAGCCAGAGAGGAAAGAGGCCGTCCTCGGAGGGCACGGCTCAGGCCAGACAGACTCTCTGCGGAAGCAGCCCTCTGGAAATGAAGCTGGTTCACACTGTGGCTGTGATTACTGACACGGAGGGCAGCGCGGAGACGGAGGGAGAGGCGGCAGGGCTGTGCCGCAGCCGGGGCAAGTGACCAGTCGAGTCGTTTGGAAGGGCTTCTGGGAGCTTCACTGGGATTACACTGATATTCCTTGACAGCATCCACTTTTAAAGGGGAAATTACATCGGTGTCATCACTCTGATGAATAAGAAAATTCAAGAGTCGGTTTCTCATGGCAGTGTTACAGAAGTGGAAAAAACCCAACCATCTATTCTCTCGAGGGCAGTTGGTTTACCTACTCCAGCCATGTCCCAGACAAGGACACTTCGGCCAACGATAGACTGCATATACAACAGGGGTCCCACAAAATTAGCACCACACAGCCTAGGTGTCCAGTGGGCTGTACCATCTGGGTTTGCGTAAGAGTGTTCCATGATGTTCACGCAAGGACGAAACCACCTAAGGATGCATTTCTCAGAACGTATCCCCGTCATTCCTTAAGCCACACGTGACTGTACTTTAGCGATACCGGGGGCTGAGGGGAGCTCTGGGAGGAACAGCCCCCTGGTCTGGATGTCTATGGAGAGCCACCAGGATCCCTCCCAGTCACTCTCATAAAATAAATAAAGGAGGAAAAATGAGCCTGTCATTGAAAGGCTGAGTGTGGTTAGTTAAGGAAAGAATTTAAGAGAGAAATATGTTCATCACAAAAAGAAAATGTAGAAACTGCATGGTACTTTGGCCTCCCACATTATTTTTTAAAAGATACTTTTTGAGGTACTGAATGAATTATTAGCCATCTCAGTGGAAGGGAAGGGCAATTCCTCGACATAGGGGAAGGTCTCGAAGGAAAGCACAGCATCCTGAGCTCTGAGCTGAGAGGTCTGGGAGCTGGCCACCTGGGCTCCCCAGGCAGAGCGCCCGGAGGCTGGGACCGAGAGGGGAATCTGAGCCCAGGCAAGGAATTCATCGTTTACAGGAAAAAAAAACCCAGCTTGGGCTCAAGGCGAGACTTTTTTCCAAGGCTTTTTTTCAGGACATTGTTTGCAAAGAAATGATATAGCATCTTCCTTCTGGGCTACGTATTCCACCAACAGCTCAATAAAAACCAAGAGCACACCAGGCTGATCCATCGATCCATGTTCAGTCTGGACAGCCACGCTGGCTCCAAGTATGGTTCCCTGCTCCTGGCAGCTTGCGATCTCTAACCAGATCACCCCCAAGCCACTGCTGATTGGAAAACCAGAAAAAATTGGTAATTGCCAGAAAACACAGGCAATTAGTAAAATCAGAAAAAAAAAACCTTCACCAAATTTCAGAATCACCTCTTAAAAGGGCAAATTGTATTTAGCTCTATTTCCACAGGTGTGGAAGCAGAGCAATTAGTCAGCACGATGCAACCACATAAGCAGACCCTCCTGCTTATTAACGCCAGCATGGGAACGCTCACATTTCGACTGCACGGGTGCATGTAAACATGTAAGGTATGTAGGCACATGCACGCACAGGCACACATGGTGAAGGAGGAGTCTCCTTAGTAACTAAACTGGAACAAAACCTCTTTTTCCGTAGTCTGAACGTCAAGGAAACGAGAGAAAAGTGCTGGGCGTGGAGGATGCTGCTGAATGGCTCATGAGGACAGAACTCATTCCTGGGGCATCACTGGCCTCTGCTGCTCGCCGTGGGCATAGCAGCTGGAGAACAGCAGCTTCCCTGAGCATTTCGTGGTGTCGCCTCCCAACCAAGAACACAGTTCACCCCACACCAACCCTGCTGCATTCTCCACTTCAGTAACCCCAACACTAAAGGGTACAGATTTTCCCTGAAACTGTAAGGCCTGTGGTCCTCACTCACCCACTGTCCCCTGTCCCCATGCCCAGCTCAGCAGAAGACAAATGGTGAGAGAGGCCGACGCTGAGCTGGAGCAGTGCTCAGCTCCCAGAGGCTCAGAATACGAGACGAAATCTGTTTTCCTAACTCGGACCTGAACTGTGAGCTGAGAGGGCCCTTGATACACAGCTTCCAAGATGCAGCGACATCTGAAGAGTCATTCAACATGCACAGCAGCACAAGCCCTCCGGGGGTGCAAACACTGAACCCGGAACAAGCCCAGGAGGAGCAGCAGCTCTGGAAGCTGTTTCTTATGGCTTCACCTCCACTCGCGGGGATCACTGTAATGGAGTGAATCAGGGGGGTGACAGCCCCCGCTCCGGCCCGGGGCCTGCTGGGGTCCTGACTGCCGCTGCTACAGAGACGGGTGCCGGCCACTCTGAAAGCTAAACAAGAGGAAGGACGCGGAGGAGCGAGCTCATCTCAGAAGCTCAGTGCCTGCAAAGCACTCCTGTGTTGATTTCAGAGCATAACCCCACCCCTCGAGACTCTTCCAAGTGGAAACCGCAGGGCCCCGCTGACACCTGGGGTTAAAAGAAGGCCAGAGAACAGGGCTGTGGTCAACGTGCAGGCCGTGAGCCAGCCTCACCAGGCCCAACTGCTCTCGCCCACTCTCACAGCCTCGTGAGCTCCTGGATTACTCTGTACAGAGGGGACATCGTAATACCAACATCCAGAGGAGGATGGCAGAACGAAATAACGTAAATGTGCTTCAGAATGAACACCTGGCCCAGGGTGACTGCCCAACAGAGGACAGCTATGTCACCACCCCCTTCATTATTCACTGACTGTCACAATACCAGCTTCCTTGGGCCTGACTGTACAAGCAAGAAAGATGCAAACAGCCTGGGTGTCAACAACCACAGGGCCCCAGACGCTCCTGATGAACCACTTCCTGCCCTGTTAAGGGCATGGGGCGATTTGCTGCCTGTCCTGAAACAGTGCTGTAAGGGGCTGCCCACGGCTGCACATGTGATCTACAACACAAAACCTTTGTCTCTGACATGGCCGGCCGGACAGACCTTTAAGCGGCATTTGCACAAGCTGTTTGACAACCTTAACATCAGACACATTTTTAGTCCCCACAACACACATTTTACCAAGGCTTTATTTAATTGTCTGACCTCTGGGGGCATTATCTCCCTCTACTACTGTGTTAAGTAAGGGCACCAGTCAGAATCAACCCCCGCCAAGACACACAGCCCTGACGCTGGGTGATGGCCAAATGCAGCAAGCAGCACATACATGCTCAACCAGACCCCGGTGGCTTCACGCCTGTGGCCAGGGCAGTCCCCCGCAGAAAAGGCGTGCCTCGGGCTGTGGTTACACACAGCGACGTCTCCAAGGACAGCTATGGTCACCGCCACCACCTTCGCTATTCACCGTACTGTCACAATACTGGGCTTCCTTGGGCCTGACTGTACACAGGTGAAAGATAAATCCACATGGTACGGATCCTCTGCATCCCTGTGACCGTCACCTGCAGGAGTCCAGTCACGCAGACCTGCTGCCTCTGGAAGCTGCCACTCCAGCTCAGGAGTGCAGCAGCGAAGCCACACAAATGACCTCTACAACACCTCCTGCTCTTGGAGTAAAACCCCAGCGTCCCCAAGAAGGCCCTGCCCAGCCACCTCAGCCAGCCACCCTCTGCTGTGCCAGCCCCTCCCTAACCCAGCCACCTTAGCCTGCCTCACGCCCGGGCACTGTCGTCCTGCCCTTCACGGCTCAGGCGGCAGCTCCACAGCGATGCCCTCCTTCACCCTCGCAGGTGTCCCCGTTCTTCTCCAGGACAGCAGCTATTGGTCTCCTTCCGAGAACTCACCACACCTGCAGTGACTCTGTTACCTGCTTTTGTGTGTCACCCCAAAGACCGTAAGTTCTATAAGGTGAGCACCATGCCCCTCTCGTTCACCATCATCTCCCTGGCGCCCAGCACAACGACTGGCAGACAGAGGGGCTGAATAAACATTTGTGGGATTGGTGCACTGAACAAAGACGGAAATCACCTAGCTGCAGGGCGGCCGTATGCAGAGCTACATGGGCAAAATCATGTTATCAACCAAGGCCAACGCAACCACCCAGCCTGCAGACACAAGGCCTAGGGGGAGTCCAGGCTCTGGCCCCCTGACCTGGGCAAGTCACCTTCCTTCTAAGTCTCAACTTGCTCATCTTAAAAAACAAGAAGGAAAATAAAAAGAAAGAAGAGTGAGGAGGAGGGGGAGGGGAGGAAAAGTCGGGGATCAGATGAGATCTATAACTTCCCAACTTTGTTCCAAGAACCCGAAGGCTCTTTGAAGGTGACGAGGCCCCACATGCCCAACCTGCTGCAACCAGAGCAGTGCAGGCTCAGCTGTCGGGACATCTGGCTTCCACATAAGATTCTGTTTGGAAAGAAGCTGCCACACGGCTAAGAGGAGCCTTGCAATGACGGGGTCTGCTGCTCAGGGGCGTTCCTAGGTCTGAGATGCACGGTTGTGTCCCAAGCTCAGAGTGAACCCCCACGCCCAGGGGCCCCACCCGCCATCATGGCCCACCTCGTTGAAGACGATCCTGGACGGCTGCCTTGAGAGCTGCTCAGCGGGCCTCACTGTAGTCTTCAACGTCCTCCCAAAGAAGTGTCGGTAGGTGACATCAAAGAGAGACACGCGCAGATGGCATCCCACCTCCGACAGCACCTCCAGCACTCCCTAGGAGACAGAAGGGGATGGGCCCAAAGGGTCTCAACATCACGAGCCATCCCACAGGTGCTAACCAACCATCCTGGTAGAACTGGCCCATTCGGCATCCATCCTCTGGTTTAAGTATCAATTTCCTTTCTCTCTCCCATGGCCAGTGGTCCCTGGTGAGGTTATGAGTGAGTCAAAGTGCATGACCCTCCCCTGGCCAATCAGAGCACTGAAGTCCCTAGGCACAGACATGGGCTTAAGACTCACCCAGAGCCAATGAGACACAAGAGGTCGGGGCTGGGGAGAGAGACGCACCTGACACCATGGGGAGCCAAAAGAGAACAAGTCCAGGTGACAGCACATGAGACTCTGGATCAAGCCACACCTGAAGCTTATGCTATGTGTTTGTCTGTCATGTGAGTTAATAAATTACATGTAGCTTAAGCTATTTTGCATGGGGTTTTTTAAAATCATTTACAACCAAATGAGTCCTTCCTGATATAACAACAAACTCTAAATCCTCAACTTGCTAGAATTACTTTGGGGTGGTATCGGCAAAGGAAAAGCAGATCTTTGAGGACTGAGAAGTCATGGCTACAAATATGGACAAAACGAGCAGACTATAAAGACACGCCCTTTCCCCAGAGCTGCAGCCCCACAGTGAGCTCTGCCCAGGCCATCAGCGCTTCGGTTACTGGTGCCATGGCAATGGCACAGCTCTGACTGTCTGCCCACACGACCAGGAGTTCTCTGCTCTCCTTTCACGCATTCATTTAATAAACATTAATTAAGCATCTATTCTGTAGACCTACTCTGTGCCAGACAATGTTCCAGGCACTAGAGACAACAGGGAACAAAACAGACAAAATCTCTGCCTTTGGACTCCCATGAAAGAAAATAAAACCAGGTGAGGAGACGGGCATCTGCTATTTTAACAGGAGGGCCGGGGAAGGTGCTCTGAGAGATGTTTGAACTGAGCACTAAGGGAGGGTAGGAACCAAGAGTGCATGTAGGGAGAGCGAACCAAGGGGGAAGGAGCAGGAAACTAAAGGCCTGGGCAGGACAGAGCGGGTGCTCGGGGACCAGTGAGACAGCGTCCCAACTGTACTGAACTGTATTCACTAAGGTTTGTTACTTTCTGTGTTCTTGATGCTCTGGCATCTGGGGCCTCACTGAGGGGGAGACTGTCCCCCAGGGCCAGCTAATTGCTAGAGACGGTAAATGACCTGCCTTCCAGGACATCTTAATATACAACCAATCCAGAGTCCAGACCCCCACCAGCCCCTCCATCTGGCTCTTACTCCAGGAGGCAATATTCCCCTGCCCGGATCATCCCAGGGCCAGAACTAGGCAACTAGGGGCAGTCCCTATACCCCAGAGGCAGCTGAAATCACTCGAACTGGCCAGTTCTAAACGCGGTCCCCTGCCGGCCCCACCTGGCCCATTCCCTCTCCTAGGAAGGCTCTGCCCGCACTCTCCCCTCACCCCCCTGCCTCCTGACCGCCCGGGCTGCTTTCCCATGTGGCCCTGCGTGGCGTGACGTGCCCCTCCTCTCAGGAACCACAGGTGACAAACTGTCTTTTCATTGATAATCGTCTCCTGCTCTTTTGGCCTCACCAGACCTGGACAAAAACAAAATCCCGGGTACATTTTAATAGAGAATGTGCACATGACAGCAGCAAGGCGTGAGGGGCGGAGAGGGGGGAGCAAGAGCCGAGAAGCGCGGGAGCAGCTCCCACAGGCCTCGCAGACAGGACGGAAGCCGGGGGACAGGCTGAGCAGATGCCACACGCTGATTCAGGACTCTAAGAAAACCGCCCCATGCGAGGTGACGGCTGAGTCAACTCGACTGGGGACCCTCTCAGAGCGGACACATACAGCAAATCAGCAGGCTGTACAGTAGCTTCCAATTTTGTCAATCATATCTCAATAAAGCTGAAAAAAAAGAAAGAAGAGAACCACTCCAGCTACCACGCGGAGACCAGGAGGGGGCAGGAGGGAAGCCAGGGCATCAGGGGGCTGCTGCCACCACCCGAGGTTGTGCATGGTGATGGGAAGGGGGCACACTGGGGGGTGTCTGAGGGAAGAGCTGAGTGACCACTGTGATGGGTCAGACGTGGATGATGAGGAAAGAGCAGCAGGGAGGACAGGGAGCCTGGCTGCCCGGTTTGCCCAGGCCTCCCTGGGTCGAGCAGCGTGAGTCCCACATACTAGTGAGGACTATGACAGCACGTTTGCCATATGGGGCAACTGGAGAAAGGAGGTGTGGAGTGTGGTCGACGAGAAGACAGCAGACAGGCCTGGGGAGGCTTCGAGCCCAGCATCAATCATCCCCACTCACTCCCGCTCACTCGGCTCCAGAGCCGCCGCTCACACCACCGCTGCCTCTCTGCCCACCGCCCCTTTCCCCGGTCCTCGGTCCTCCCGGCCACCCCAGCCACACTGCCTCCCTGGTGACCCTCACGCGTGCTGCTCCCTCCCTTGCTCGCATCAGGGGCCCGGACAGGGAGGCCTTCCCTGACCACTGCCATCTGGGCCACCATCCTCTGACCCTGCTAATCCCCTAGAGCTATCAGCGTACACGCTGACGTCTGTCGCCCCAACTAGAATGTAGTTCCAGGAGAACAAGAGCCTAGAATATTCTCTTCCCTGCCCTATCCTTAGGGCCTGGACAAGATTTTGCACATGTAGGTACTCGGTGTGGACACCTCCCCTCACTGCTGCACCCACCCAGGGCTCCACCACTGGCCCCCTCCTCCCCCTCCGCACCCCCCTCTCTTCTTGGGGGAGGTAACCACCAGCCAGGCCCTGCTAACTCCCAAATCTCTCTTGCTGGCTTGGACGTCTCCCCAGAACTCAGACCCTAAGCACCCTGCGCCTCTGTGCTACTGTGTTCCCAGTTCTACTCAGGTAAGTTTCTAGATCCATCTCCCCTCACTGGACTGAGAGCTCCGTGAAGACAGAATATGGGGCAGTCACCTTTGTGTCCCCTGCACAGTTTCAAACACATAACAGGTGCCCAATAAACATCAAATTCCAAAGAAAAGAAATGCAATCAACATTCATGGTAAAATGAAACTACACAAAAAAGGGAAACGGAATACTATGAAAAACATAGTAAAATTATTAACAAAGTGCCTCAAGTTCAAAAGAAGCCTGTTATATTTTTAGCGGACACCTCTCACAGGGAAGCCTGCTGCCATCTAAAGCTGCCAATTCTCAAAATAAATAAAATTGCACAAACGTGAGAGACTATCCAAATTCAACTTTTTTTAATGTTTCCTACTTGGTCTTTTAAATCCTATCTTTTCACTGATTTTTGTACTTAAAACCGACTTTGCATTCCCGCAATAAACCCCACCTGATCATGATACACTATCCTCTACACAAACTGCTGCATCTGATGTCCTAATCTTATAAGGATTTTTGTGTTAATACTCACGTGGGTTATCATCTGAACTTTTCTTGTAGTGTCCTTGCCTAGTTTGGGTATCAGAGTTATGGTGGTCTCAAAAAAGACCAGTTGGAAAGCGTTCCCTCCTCTTCTATTTTGAGTTTGTCTAGAATTGGTCTTATTTCTTCCTTAATATTTTATAAAATTCAACAGTGAAGTCATGTAAGTCTGGAGTTTTCTTTCTAGCAAGGTTTTTAATTATTAATTCATTTTCTTTAATAAATACAGGGCTATTTAGATTTTCTATTTCTTCTAGTGTCACTTTTGATAAGTTGTGCATTTAAAGAAATTTGTCCATTTTATCTGTTATTACATTTATTGGCACATAAGTTATTCATAAGGTCCCTTGATTATCTTTTTAATGTCTGCAGGATATGTAGAAATGCTCCTTCTTTCCTTCCTAATATTGGCGATCTGTGTTCTCTCTCCTCATCATCAGTCTTAGTAGGGGTTTATCAATATTATTAATCTTTTCAAAGAACTAACTCCTAGCTTTGTTGATTTTCCCTATTATTTGCCCTTTACTTTACTGATTTATGCCCATATATTTACTATTTCTTTCTTCTATTTTAAGTTTAATCTGTTCTTTTTACCTAGATTCTTAAAGAGGAAGCAGAGGTCATTGATTTTTATAATATAGTCATATAAAGTCATAAGTTTCCCTCAAAAGACTGCAGTAGCTGTATCCCAAATTTTGATATGTTCTCCCATCATTCAATTCAAATTATTTGCTAATTTCTCTATGAATTCCTCTGTGACCCATGGGTTAGCCAGCAGTGTATTGTTTAATTTCGTACTATTTGAGGATTTTCTAGGTATCTTATTGTTATTGATTTCTAATTTAATAACATTAGTCAATGAACATATTCTTTATAATTTCAATCCTTTTAAATGGACAGAGACATCTCTATGGCCCAGCAAACGGTCAGTCTCAGTGAATGCTCCATGCGCACTTGAGAAGGACGTGCATTCTATTTGTTGGGTGTAGTATTTTAGAGATGACAAGTCAAGGTGGTTGATGGCGTTGTTCAGATCTTCCAAAACCTTCTTTTTTTGGGCTGTCTGTTCTATCAATCATCGAGAGGAGAGTTAAAAGTCCCCGTTATGGTGGTAAATCTGAACGCAGTCCCCTTTAGCTCTACACAATTTTGCTTCATGCGTATGGAAGCCACATTACTGGGTGCTGTGCACAAAGGAGCTATCACAGCAGCCTGTGATGCTTTGAAAGGCTGGCTCACGGGCTGACCCTTGGCTGGACTCTGGGAACTTACATTTCCAGAAGGTCCCTACCAGCCTCATAAGAATGGCTCACTGTGCCTAAACTGTACGAAACTGTTTATGCTGAACACCTGCTTTCCTTCTGGGAATCTGGAATTCTGGTACATGTTACGCAAAGGATGCCTATGTGACCAGTCCACAAAAATACCCTGAGCTTTTTCAGAGAGCCTGGGCACTGAGTCTCTAACTCAGATTCCTTGGTTGGCAGCATTTCACAAGTGTCATCACAGCTCCTTGCTGGGGGAATCAAGTGTCCTGTGGGATCCACCAGCAGAGGGCACTTGGAAGCTGCGCCCATTTCCCCCAGGCATCCTCCCACATGCCTTTTCCCTTGGCTGATCTTGCTCTGTATCTTTTTGCTGTAATAAATCCTTCCTGTGAAGATGACTATATGCTGAGTCATGCTGAGCCGCCCAGTGAGTCATCAAACCCGGGGGTGGTGCCACCTGTGGGCCTGATACAGGTGCACACACATTTAGGACTGCCTGTCATATTTTCTGGATTACCATCACCGTTATGAAATGTCCCTTCATCTCTGGTAATGCCCTCACCTTGAACTCTACTTTGTCTGATATTAGGATAGCCACAAAGCTTTCTTATGCTTGGTGTTTACAAGGTGCATCTTTTTTCCATCCTTTTACTTTCATACATACAATTTGAAGACACTGAGTTTATGTCTTTATGTTTAAAGTGTGCTTTTTTACAAACAACCTATAATTGGGTGTTAAATGATAACTTTGCTGGGGCGGGGGGGGTGGTGAGGAAGACTGGCCCTGAGCTAACATCTGTGCCAATCTTCCTCTATTTTGTATGTGGGATGCCGCCACGGCATGGCTTGATGAGCGGTGTGCAGGTCCACACCTGGGATCCGAACCCTGGACCACTGAAGCAGAGTGCTCAAACTTAACCACTACACCACCAGGCCAGTCCATTAACTGATAACTTTTAACATATGATTTTGGATCAGGAATTCCACTTGTAGGAATTATTCTACAGACATATGTGTACATGGGGAAAAATTATGGAAATGAAGTTATTCACTGTAGCAGTGGCTGTAAAAGCAAATTACAGGAAAACGTCTAAGTGTTCACCAATAAGGGCCTGGGTAAATAAACGATAGTTCATCCACACAAAGAAATACCATGCTGTCTTAAGAAAGAATTTCTTCATGTAATGACATGAACAATCTATAAAACTTAAGAATATTTTTTAAAGCAAGATAATACAAGTATATTTATTTGTTGTATTTGCTTAGAGTTTCTGGAAAGCTGTACAAAAAACAGGTAACCTTGGCTGTATCTAGGGTGGGACACTGGGCGCCTTGGGGACACCATGGGATGACACAATTCCCTCGGGTACCTTTGTGAATTCTGAACTATAGAAATTACCTTTTTAAAAATAAGTAAATAAAATAGAAAATAAATAAAATTTCCTTTGTAAAAGTCCTAGGAAAGAAGAAACTGCTGTCTGCTATCTTGAGAGCTCCTGAAGGCAGGGGCTGCTGGAGCTGGTCAACCTCGGCTGGCATCCCCGCTGGCCAGCTAGAGCTGGGTCACCCCAGGGAACTGACTTCACTTCTCTTGGGCTGTTTGCTCCTCTGTAAAATGGGGGTAATGGTGGCACCTGCCTCATAGGGGTGTCATGAGGATGAAGTGAATTCATACAAGGAAAGTGCCAAGAAGCAAAGTTGTACAAGCAGCAGCTACCACAGCACCCAGCTCAAGGGCAAACACCCAGCGGGTGCTCCGTCAAGGTGTGGAACGGAGCTTTGCAGGATGTGAGCCATTTATAAGAGAAGGTTATTCACAGACCAGCGCTCCAACAACTTTGAATGCATGGAGAATCGCTCTACCAGCTGCGGAGGAGGACAGTCTTGGTAAGCCAAACCCTCTAAGAGGCATGTGTCCACAATGGCAGGCCTGGATCCTTCCTGTGCATCCTCACAGGCCACCGGGCCTCACTAAGACACTCCAATTACATGGCTGTTCTGTTAGCAGTACAGAAGCACCAGCTTCTCCAGCAGGTTCCCTGCCACCTGAACGGCACAGATGGACGCAGAGCCACAGAGCCAGGGCCTGAGCGTGCAAATGGCTGTGGTCCATCCAAGCACAGGGCTTCTGCCAGGATGCCCAGAGCTCTGCCTCTGCAGTTCCCACTGCCAGGGTGAAGCAGGCTGTGCTGAGCCGTGCACAAGGCCACCTCTTACAAACAACCTGGCTCAGAAATAACCCAGGAAATCAGATTACCTGGGTTTTTAAATTGCCCCACTGTGGGCAGAAAGAAACCTTTACCCAGGGTCAGAAGTGCTGACCGAGTCGCTGAATCACATCCTCTCTTTGCTGATGGGCCACTTTGCCTCCTGCCAAGGCCCAAGGTAATGGGTACAGTGGTGAGACTCAAGTAAGTGGAAATCAATATCATCTCAGCTGAGCGCAGTAACAACGTGCATTTGACAATAAATAGCAAATTTCTTTACCTGCTTAATTAGCGGACCATCGAGCCACTTCAGGACACACTGAAATGCTGTTGACTCCCTTAAAGGCTGACGTGCTCTCTGTGGGTGGGGAGGTACCAGCACGTTTTGATCAAAAATCCTGTGCCAGTCATTCATCGTGCCAGTCTGAGGGTCACTTGGGCCTGTAGGATTACCTGTACCATTCGTGTTCAAATAAACAAAAAAGTTACAAGGGCCACTGTGCTCAGAGCAATTCTCAAAGTTTCCTACCTTCCACTGAACCCCAGAGGAACCACCATCCCCAAAACCCACACTCTGCAATCCTACCCTCCAAACCCCAGTGCAGTAGACTGGCACCCATGCTGCCTTCCCCTAGTAAACGTGCCCATCTCGCTCCAGAGAACCTCTACCCCTCCTCTCAGGAACCAACCAGAGCACAAGTACCCTGGCCTCAGTGACTGGTTCAGGGTTGGGGACATGCAGGGCCACTTTGTGCAGTTGTGGAGGTTGAGCAGTGCACAAGGGCACCAGGCCGTGGGAGCAGCTACCTATAAAAAAGCAGGCAGTGCAAAAGCAAGAGCAAGGAAAGGGTTGGGAGGTCATCAGTAGAGCCCTGGCTCACGGGGACACTAACACAGTCACCCCAGGACAGCTCAGTGCTGTGAACAGTTCCTTGTGACCTAAGCTCGTTTCGGAGCAATTTTGAGTGCTACAGGCTGCTTGGAGGCCTGGCTGTCTAAGGACGTTATCTGCCTTCCAGCCAGACAGGGATCTGAGCTGCACTAGACTCTTCTGCTGACACAGAACCTCGGCTTTGATACGAAGCTGAGCTCTGTACACTAAAACGACAGGCGAGGAGAAAAAGCAGCAGGTTTGGTCTTCTAAGATAGCAGCTCTCTGTGGTCCCGAATCCCGTAAGTTCCCCAGGGTTGTCAAGGGTTCCACAAGGTCAAAGCCGTTTTCCTCGTCAGCTGACATAGGCCTTGCTCCCTGTGTTGGCACCTGCTCCGATGGAGCAAAGGCAGTGGTGGGCGAAGCCGCTGGTGGCTCGGCCTGCCCCGGACCCAGGCACCACAGCCTCCCAGCCATCCCACGCCCTCACTTCTTGCAGTAAAAAATACATCAGCTGCACTTAAGAATGCCCTTGATAATGCCGTTTTAACTTGCTTACATCTCGACCCTTGAGTGTAGGCATATTCAGCATTCTCTGGTGAAATGGGAAACACACAAAATCACCTGCTGCAAAATGCAGGACAACGGTCACTCCCATGAGCCTGGGTGGCTGTCTGGGCTGCAAGCTGAACCAGCTGCTCTTCCAGTCAACAACGCCATTTTTACTAAAAAGAATGGCTGAGACAGGCCATGCTTATTCAGACTTGTACCTGGTAGATTTTCTCTCCAACAAACGAAATGAGCCCCTCACTGAAACACCGTAATAAAAATCAAGCTTTTGGGCAAAAATTAGAATCGGGAAAATCGGTGTCCTCCACCATGAGCCTGCCAGCTTCACATGCCTTAAAGACTTTTCTGATGAGATGGGTAGTGACGGCAGCAAAAGGGACCTTTTGAAATCGTATGATTAACCATGTCAACATTTGGAAGATGTGTGTAACTCACAACCAGATTTTCTAAGTGAATAATGCATAATGATACAAAATCCTGCATGAGTAAGAGATCCACCAAAAACGCAAGACAGCCCAAAAGATTTTCACGTTGAACAGAGCATGAAAAGCTCACCGGAGGCCATCTAACTCCACATCGCATCTGTGTCATCTGCAGCTGGGACTAGTGTCAAGGACCTTGAGGTGGGGAGACGATCCAGGTGGGCCTGATGTGGTCACAAGGGTCCTTCAAGGGAGGGGCAGGAGGGGTCAGAGAAAGGACCCAGTGACCAGAGGAGCAGAGATGTGACGATGGAGGAAGGGGCTATGAGAGGAATGCGGGTGGTCTCTAGAAGCTGGAAAAGGTGAGGGAGTGGGTCCCCCCCGCCGGAGCCTCGGAAGGAACCAGCCCTGCCCACACCGTGACGCTAGCCCACTGAGGCTGACTTCGGACTTCTGGCCTCCAGAAGCAGAAGAGAATAAAGCCGGGTTGTTTCAAACCACCCAGTCTGTGGTAATTTGTTACAGAAACCACAGAAACTCACACAGATGTCCACAGCCTGGAAGCAGACGAGGCCTGCCCGATACCCAGCTGGAGAGCCACCTGCCCAGGAGGGTTTCTGGGTGGCTCCCAGGGGTCCAGCCCTCGGGCCCACACAGCCCTGTGCTTCCAGCGTGCACTTGCCACCTGCCCCATACTGATCTGCCCACTGGCCAACTGCTCACAGGAGTTGGCCACAGGCTCACAGGAGTTTACTTTCCCGTGTCCTTGGTACCTGGCTCACCATCAAAACTCAAAAAATATTCACAAAATCAAATGGAAGTTTCAATAAAGTTGACTCCCAAGCATCTTTTTTTTCAGGGAAATGTTGTTTTCCTATTGACTTTCAGTATAAAACTGGAACGTTTATTCATACAAAGTGAGCGCCACAATGGACTGAGATGGCATCTCTACAGAGGATGTCCTTCCTGCCCTGGGAGCAGTGGCAAAGCCCGCGCCCTGAGACACCTGGAAGGAGCGGCGCCCACTGTGCACTCCGCCCCTCGGCAGCATTTCCCCAGCCCCAGGGCTGTGCCTCCTTTGTGAGTGGCTCCAGACTTTGCTCACTTGCCCCAGATTCCTGGCCCAGTACCTGCCACCCCTTCCCTGGACGGCTGCAGGACCCAAAGCGGCCCTTGGCCAGCAGAGGCGGCTGAAGGCCACTCATGGTCTGGTCCACCCTGCCAGGAAAACACATCAATGGGATGATTCCCTGCTGCACCCGTAAGACACACCCTGGGAAGGATCTCTTCTGAAAGGCACTGCCACCCAAAATCAAACCCCTGAGCTGGGCAGGTGGAGGCAGCCAGCAACAGTCCACATGGGCAATGGAGGAAGAGGTGACACCTGAGACAGGCTCCTGGGAGTGGGAGCCCAGGCAGCCACAGGGGCTGTGACACACAGAGCTCTTCCTGCCCCCAGCCCTCCCTCCTCTCCAGCTCCACTCTGCCCTCGCCTCAGCGCCCCCAGACACCACGCCCTCTCTGTTCCCCTCTGGAGGGACACACACACCCATGGTAACTCCTACTCGTCCTTCAGGAGTCAGAGCAAATGCCACCCCCTTGGGGTGAGCGCCTCATCCCCCCCGGCTCCTCCCCCACAGGATCCTGTCACAGAAGTGCCACCACACTCCACCACACTCCACCAGGCAGGTGGTCACTGCTGTCCTGCCAGACTGTGAGCTATGCCAGGTTAGGACCGTCCTCAGTGGAAATCTTTTTAGTGATTAGGTAAGTCATTAATCACGCTGTGCAGGAATTAAGAGTGTTGTGAAGGAAGGGCAGATGGGCCTGTGGGGCTAGATGAACAAAAAAGAGAAAACTGAGAGGGTTCCACGCTTTGAGCCCAAGAAAAGAGTTCAATGGACTCTCCAGGGGTAAAAACATCAAGAAAATCTAAGAGCTTTTATTGAGCCCCTATTGTGAACCAGGCATCTGCATTTTTATATTTATTATTCCAACAGCTCTATAAGTTAAGTACATTATCCCCATCTAAAGATGAGGAAAGTGAGACTCAAAGAGGGTAAGTGGCCAGTACAAAGTCACACAGCCAGTTGTGACTACCCTCAAAGCCATTACAACCACACCTGCCCCTGTGTCGCACCGAGGCCAGGAGAAGCAGAGGGAGAAGAGGCCCCAGAAGGTACAGTGAGAGCCCTGGCCAAGGCCCCAGGCTAATCCTCGCTCTCCTCTCTGACTTGTGGAAAATCTCTTGCCCTCCCTGCATCTGTTTCCCATCCACAAAACGAAGGGGCGGTGAAGCTTCCTTGAGGTGTGTGCTGCTGCAGACCTGTTCAACGAAGATGCACCAAGCACCTGCTCTGTGCCAGCACGTGCGGTGGGGAAGACTGTCAAATGCCCCATCTTCCAAGAATCTAAGAATCCAGCTTTATTAGTATAAATCTTGGATGGAACTGAAGCTCTAAATACCCAATTTAGAGTGCTGTAGTCTTATTTACTGCAAGAATAAATTCTTGTCAGTGGCATAAAAAAAGAGAAAGGCAAAAGGGCAAGGGTGAGCAGCACAGAGGCGAGAGGCGGAATCCAGGCTCTTCCTGGGGGCAGACAGGGTGGAGTAGGGAAGAGGAGGGAACCAGGGAGCTGAAGAGGTGAGCTGGGCTGACGTCTCACAAATGAGGCTGGCCCGAGGACTGCCAGGTACAGGGACGCTTCCCTCCCAGAAGTGAACAAGATGTGGAACACCTGAGACCCGAAAGCTTTGGGCAGCTGTTTTGGGAGTAAGTGGAATTCCCTTATTCAAGGACTATTGTGAGTACCTACCAGGTGCCAGGCCCTGGAAAAACCATCTTGCACTCAGCAGACAAGCTCCCTGCCCTCATGGAATGTATCTGGAGGGACGTAGAAGGAGGGGATACAAATTAGCACACAAAAACCCATGGTTGTGAGCCAGGAAAACAAAACAACGGAGAGGAGTGGAGGGGGCAGTGACCTGTGATGGAGATCTGGGTTAGAAGCAGGCCCACCATCTGCAGTCATCTGAAATACTCCTTTCCAACCACACAAGCATGAGGCTGGACTTCTCGGTGTACTTCATCCAAAACGACACACAGCCACAGGCAGCAAAGAGATGCGCAAAGGTGGGGCCTCTGAGTCTGAAGGAGCGGGCAGAAGAGCAAGCACTCAGGCCTCAGGAAGGACCCAGGTGAGGTGGGGCAGCAGAGGTGAAGACGGGAGCGGCTACAGGGGCAGCCCGAGGCAGGTAGCGGGGCAGAGCCTCCTGCAAGGGCCTGGGAGTCTCAAAATTTCCACTGGACAGCAGTGCTGGGATGGGCCAGCAGGGGACACACACACAGATGAGGACAGGCATCCAGCCCAGGGACACGCACTCAGGCAGGGACAGACACCCAGCAGGGGACAGATTCAGCCCGAGGACAGGCATCCACCTAGGGACAGGCATCCAGCAGGGGACAGACACCCAGCCCCGGGAACAGGCAGTTGGGGACAGCAAAGGTCCCCGGCAAGTGTGGCGGGGACGCAGAGTCAGGGAAAGCCAACGTCAGGGTCCCAGCAAAGCCCAGGCCATCCGCACCGAGCTGTCCTTAAACTAAGGGGCCGCAGAGGGGCGCTGGGTCATGGGGCAGAGGGCGGAGGCTGGGCCCCCAGGAGTCCCAGACGCCCAACAGACCCCGGCGGCCCGGGCCGCACCAAGTGTCAGGGCGGGGGTGCGGGTGAGACTGAGGCGGGCCCAGCCCCGCGCCCCGCCCGGCCGCCGCGCCCCGCGGGCACCGGGTCCCCAAGGAGAGAAGTAAGGAGCACGCCCACCCCGGACCGACGGCACGGCCGGCTCCGCGGCCCCCAGCTTCTCTCGCGTCCCAGCCTCCCCCGCGGCGCCGCCACCATGGTTTCGCCCACCGCGGGCGCCGTTACCTAGGAGACGGGCCCGCCGCGGCCGCGCCTGGGCGACGAAGCCCACGCTTCTGAGGAAGTGCCCCCACGACGGAACCAGAGCCCCGGAGAAGGGCCGCGGCCGCCCGGAGCCGCAGGCCTGCAACCCGAGAACCGGCCGCAGAACGTCCAGTCCTCTGCCACCCGCAGGAGGAGCCTCGGAAGGCTGCGCGCCGCGCGCTCGGGCCGAGGACCCGCCCCGCGTCGCCGTCGTCGGCAGGGCCGCAGGACCAATCAGAGCCCAAGTCAAGAGCTCCGCTACGGCAGCTCCAGCCAATCGGCGAGGCGGCGGGCCCGTCCTGATTTGCATGGCCGGCGATCCGTCACCCAATGGGAATGTGACTGGCGTGACGAGCAGCCAATGAGAAGCTGGAGGAGGCGTGGCCCCGGGCGTCCCACGAGGTGAAGATGCTGCGGGCGGAACCTGGCGGAGCGTGCGGGATTCGGGGGCGCTAAAGTCGCAGGGGCAGGGCGGGAAGGAAGATCCGGAGCAGGAACAGGATCCGGAGCTGGAGCCCCCAGGTGAGTGCTGGGGGAGACCCCCGCGGACTGCACTGTCCGCGGCCGTGCTCCGGGAGAGCGGCGGCGGGCACCCGAGAGGCCCGCGCTGATTCTCCATCTCCTCTTCGCCAGCGCGTCCCCGCGCCCGCCTCCGTCCTCACTTCTCCAGCAAGCTCACCTCCTTCTGCATCGTCTCCCTTCCCCCATCTCGCCCTCCCCAGCCCGTCCTATCTGCCGTCCCGCCCGACCTTTCAGCTCTCATCCCCGACCCCTGCCCCAAACTTCATCCCTCCCCTGGTCCCAGTGCATCGCTTCCCGATCTCTGCCCCCTCCCGGTTCATCCTCGCCTCCCCTGTCCCTATCTCGCTCCGCTTCCCCTCTCTCGACCTCTGAGCAGCCCCATTCGAGCGCTCCGGGTGGTAGTCCTCCCCATCTCATCTTTCCTCTTTGTTGCTCCTGCAGGCTCATCCTGCCTCTCCTTCTTGGTCCCTGTCCCCATCCTCCCACTCGTTCTGCTCCTAGTCCCTCCGATCTCTCCCCGTGGGCACTCTCTCCACCTTGCCCTGCTCCCCAGGACCTTGGCACTCCCTTCCTGCACCAGTTCCTCTGGCTACTTACACCCCTACCTGCCCCTACCCCTTGTTCGGCCTCTCGCTCCCCACCTCCCTACCTGCTGCTGCTCCCGCAGGACGCAGAGACTCAGCAGCTGCACCGCTCCCTGCTGCAGTAGCAGCTGCCAGTGTACCTGCCCACCTTCCCGCTCTCCCATCCAGGCGCACCCTGGCTCTGCTCCTCCTGGCATTTGTCTTGGGGGCTCTTCTGGGGGCTGTGCTTTGCCTAGAGTTTCCAGATGGGAAGCCCCTTAGCACCCTTTCCTGCCTTCCTCCCTGGCCACCATCTCCCTCCCCACCCCACCCCCACTTTCCTGCTCAGCCTCACTTTGTGATTCAGCATTTTTGGGTTTGTAACTTTCTTTGCTTTCTGGCGTGATAGGGACCTGGCTGTGGGGCTGAAGGCAGGGGGTCTTGACCCTGCGAGATCACCTTAGGAAACAGACCTGAGCTGCCTGGTGGAGGCAGGAGTGGGGAGCAAGGGACCCACCAGTGGGGGCTGTCTTTTCCTGCCTCTCATTTGTCTGCCCTGTATTGAACTGCATCCAAAGGGAGATGACATAAGTAATAGCTCTTGGGGAAATGGGCTATTAGCATTTATGGAAATTAATACATCCACATCCGAGGAACAAGAACACCAAGTTCAGGCCACAGCTGTCCCACTGTCTGTCGTTTCAGGATTTCTTCTTTCCCTGCAATTTCTCCTCCCCCTCAAAAATACCATCCCCCTTCCAATGCCAAGAGCAAGCTCCTGCTCTGCTAAGGAAGCTGCATTCAGGCCCCACATTGCAGGGTTTGGGGACCTGTGTGTGGAGAGTCGCATCTGCCCTCCCAGTTCTTGCTTGGCAAGCGTATCCACCTGCAGAGCCCAGGCTTGTGTGCAGCTCCTGGGCTCCTGTCCCTGTGCCCGCGCAGTGTGGGGCCCAAGAGGGCATTGGCTCCACAGGTCCCATCTCGGGAACTCTCTCCAAGTCCACACCCCACTTCAATGGCACAGACTGTGTTTGGGCTGCAGTGTATTCCAGTCTCTAAAGCAGCCTGCCGGAGGCTTCCTGTACAAAACCGAGCTCCAGTTCCTTGTGTCTCTCTGCTCTGCCCATCGACAGACTCTGTGGGCACGCCCAGGGACTGAGCCAGGCCATGGTGGGCAGGGAGGGTCATGAAAAGTGTGAAACCTGGGTCATGTGCTCCATAGCCTTTTGGGTGTGGATGTGGAGCCTGGATGGGAAGAAGTAGGCACAAAAGCGATTGCACACAGCAGGTGTGCCAAGACGGGATGCCACTGCTTGCCTGGGGAGGGTTCTGGGCCGTGGGCACTGGGAATAGGAGGTGGAGCGAGCCCTGAGGGCGGGGCAGCTGTGGAGGCTTCACACTGTGGGGCTGCTTTCTTTCCTTTCCTTTTTTCAATGATCTTCTAAACCCCAAATGATTCAGGAGGAAATGAGTGGCACAGAGTTTTGATTTGGCAGTTTCCAGCAGGGGCTGGAAGGAGAGCTACCACTAGACTTTCCTGTTTGTTGGTGCTGGGCCCCTGGCAACTGGGCAGCACAGTGTGTGGCGAAGAAAGGCCTCCTCCACTGTTCGAACCCCCGAGAACATGTTTTGTTTCCAGGGACTCCGGCTGGAAGCAGCATGTATCTCGTCCTTGACTGAATTTTCAGTGACCTTCACGTCACCAAAGGTCCCAGAGCCAGAGCAGTTTCCTGGAGTCCCTGAATAATGGGGCAGCACAGTGGCAGCTGTGGGTAGCATTTGGGAGGGACCGTCTGTGAAGGTGTCCAGGGCCCAAGACCCCAGGCCTCTCTGCATCCCCTCTCTCAGCAGCTAGGAGGTCCCCCCTCATGGAGGCGAAGCTCACTAGAGCTGAGAGGGTCTTGGCCACCTTCTCCCTCAGAGGAGTGAATGGAAGCCAGAAGCAGAGACTTCTCCAAGGTCACTCAGAGGCAGGGGCACAGCCGGCTTAGACCCCCTCACTTCCTGCCAACTTGCGCCCAGGACTCCCAGTTAGAGGAAGCCAACACTGCATGGATGTGCCTGACCACCAGCTTTGGCCGCCCTTCGGGCAGGCCGCTCAGGAGGTGTTGGTGACTTGCATGGAGGAAACCAGGCCCTGGGGTGTGTCTCAGTCACTGGGGGCTGTTGGGAGCAGGAGACACCACCAACCACAGAGAATTCTCAGTGATACCATCCTGCCCAGCCTGGCAGGACCCCAGAGCAAAGGCACTGTGGTTTCAAAGGTATCATCAAAGAGATGGCAAGTAGTTAGATGGGAGGCCAGGGGCTGGGCCAATGGGTGAGATGAAAAGGAAGAAGAGTTCTGCCCACGTTGGAACTGCTCTTTCAACCTGGCTGCGCCATGGGTCCTTGTAAATAACCCTTGGAGGTAGGCCGGTTAGTTTGGATGGGGAAACTGAGGCACAGAGCAGTGGCAAGACTGACTCGGCCTCCCATCTCATGAGGAGAACTTGATTCTTTTCCTGCTTTGCCAGGACTCTGAGGCGGGTGCCTGCTCCCTGTCGCACGGAGCTCCAGCAGCTGCCTCAGCCCCACAGATGCATCTCCTTAGGCTCGCAGAGGGGTCCAGGTTGAATCCCAGCTCCCGGGGGACATGGAAACCCACCTTTTTCATGAATGGGCAGCCCAGCACGCTCATTCCTCCATCCGCTGCATGCCCCCCTTTCTTTGGGGGCACTCTGTGAGGGGATGTGGTTCTTGGCTCAGCCAGTGTGAAAGAGAAAAGGGAATAAGGCCTCCCTGGGAGAGAGCAGGCACTGGGTGGGGTGGGAATGTTACCCACCTGGTCATCCTGTCACTGTGGGCGTGGCTCCAGGCTCTCCATTAGGCCTGGCCTTGGCAGGACAAGCGTCTCCCTCTAGGCCTTATCCCTTGCCGCATCCCACGGGGCTCAGCCAAGTGCTGGCCTTCCCTGCCCTCTATACCGTGGGATGAGCCCCCAGCCTAAGGCTGTCTTGTGCCCTCACACCCAGCTTTCTAACCCATAGCCCTGCAGGACGGGGTCTCAAGAGGCCTCTCCCTGCTGGTTAACCCCTGGGCTGTGGGCGCATGCCTGCCTGCAAGGTTGTGTGTCCCTCCTCCCAGAGCCATCCCCCTCGAACGCCCGTGTTGCCTGCATCCCTGGCACCCACCTTCCTTGAGCTTCCTCCTTGCAGGCAGCCGTCTTCTCTCTCACTCCAGCGCACAGGCGCTTGCAGAATTGACTCTCAATGCCATGCAGGGTGCGGATAAAATGGGACTGGGAAAGGGAAAAAGCGGAGAGGGAGTGAGGTCCAGCTCCCTCAGCTTCACACTGTACTGCGGACCCAGCTAAGAGGGTTTTCCCCACGATGATCTGGAGCCCTGGTGGGGGTTTTTCCCCCCAACTTGATCTGGATCTTGAGCCCCTTTAGGGGTTTTCCCCACTAACTTGATCTTGATCTTGAGCCCTGGCTGCTGAGCGGTTGAGATCCGTCATCCAACTCAATGACTCAACGGCTGAAAGCCCAGCGTGTGTTTCTCCTTCTCAGATCTCCACACCAGATCCCGTTCCTCATTGGGCTGGTTTCCCCAGTGAGTGAGCAACTTCTTGGGTCCCATAGACGGGCGAGTCTTGTCCACAGGACCCTCTGTCACCAGTCCTGGCCAGTTCGCACCTTCTCAGCCACTTGGCTCCACTCTTGGATCTCCTTTTTTCTGGGTTGGTGAAATGAGGCGATGTGGGGAGAACCATGGGGACGGTCCCTGGCACACAGCAGGCACTCAGTGATGTCAGCTACCTTCTTCTACTTCTAATCATAGACTGAGCCCAAACCATTGCCCTAACTTGAGCCCAGGTGGCCCCCAGGAAAGCTCGGGCAGAGTGACTCAGGTCCCCTTCTGAGTCATTTCATGAGCCCAGCCGGGGCTCCTCAGAAGGGGCTGCCTGCTCCTGGGGCACAGCCTGGGAGAGCCCAGCTTCATGGAGGATGGGGTTGGGGGAGGGCCTATTGCCATCAGTCTGCAGGGAGGAG